CCATGAGTCTTCACTCATAGTTATGAGGCATTTGTCGCTTGTTAACGATACTTCATTTAAGTCAAGCATATATACGTTGTTTACTCTAAAACCATTAAACATATTCTTCTTATCATTTTCATGCACAATTTTGCAACAATCTTTTGAAAAAGATACATTGTATCCTTTGTCGCATAATTGGCTAATGCTAAGCAGATTATGTTTAAGGTTTTCGACAAGCAACACGTCGGAAATCATAGTAGAAGAGGGATTACCTACACTACCTTTCCCTAGTATTGCTCCGCGGTTGTTATCACCATAATTTACATACCCTTTCTTCTTAGCCACGAAGTCTATGAATAAGGATATGTCTCCAGACATGTGTCTTGAGCACCCACTGTCGAGAACCCATCTTCTCTCGGTGGTCTCGACACATTTCACCTATCAAAACATAATTAGCAAAAGGAGGTACCCAATGGCATATTGGGTCCTAATAGGTTAGTGACAAAATGGTTGCATTTGGGCAACCATTGATAGATGCCTTTAGGAACAAGAAATCTCCTAAATCGGCATATACCAATGGAGTGGCCTTTCTTGCAACAATATAAGCATGCAAAATCGAATTTAGAATCACTTTTACTTGCTTGATCCCTAATTACATATGCATATTTTTGATATGGGTTTATCATACTTTTTCTAAAATCCTTTTTATCAATAGCAAATGTAATTTTAGGCTCAAGTGCCTTGTTTAATTTGGCCTTAAGGTTTCTAACCTCACCTTGCCAAATATGACAAGTATCACACCCAAAGTCAAAAGGATTTCTATTGTCCTTACAATCCGATTTATTACCTTCCACAATGGAAGCCTTAAGGTCCTCTACTTTCTTTTCGGACTCTTTAACTTTGTGCTCTAAGTACGTAAAAATTCTTTATTAGAGGCAAGTTTCTTGAAGGCTTCAGTTGCTTCATTGTGTAAAGCATTAAATGCGGTTTGTAATTCTGAATGCAACATATTTGAGGACATATCATATTTAGAGTGACGTACCTGCTTTTTCTTATTTTTCTGATGAGCGGAGAGGCATAGATTCACGGACTCTTCTTCATCACTAGAGCTTTCATCAGAGGAGGAAGAGTCGATGTCGCTTTCCCAAGCTATGTACGCTCTCCTAGGCTTTGATGATTTCTTGTGTGACTTTGATGATTCCTTTTCCTTTGCCTTTTTGTTCATCGGACAGTCCGGTTTGTAGTGATCGGGCTTTCCACACTTATAGCACGTCCCTCTAGTCTTTTCACCTTTTGAGTCATCATCTTTGGAGTACCTCGATTGTTTCCGGAAGTTTACCAAGTTCTTCTCAGAATGTTGGATGCTGTTGTTTCTCACATAACGGTTGTACCGTTTAACGAACAACCCCATATCTTCGCTCTTGTCCTCTTCTTCTTCGTCGCTTGAGGAATAATCACTTTGCTCTTTTGCTTGAGACTTCGAGGAGGAAGTCTTGAGAGCTATCAATTTCTTTTCACTCACCTTCGTTTTGTCTTTCTTTTCCATCTTTTCGCGTTGGTCTAGGCTCAAAAGTACCTGTTCATGCTCTTGTAGTTTGCCAAACAATGTTGTCAAGTCTAATAAGGTAAGATCATGTGCTTCTTTGATGGCGGTCACTTTTGGCTGCCATTCCCTGTTAAGACATCTTAAGATCTTATTAGTAGCAACATCATTGGAAATATGCCTACCTAATGAATGTAAACGATTGATGATATGAGTAAATCTCTTTTGCATGTCAGCAATGGTTTCCCCTTGCTCCATGAAAAAGAGATCAAACTCTTGTGTTAATGTGTTGATTCTAGCCAACTTAACATCGATTGTCCCCTCATGGGTGATTTGTAGTGAATCCCACATGGCCTTAGCAGTAGGACAATGGGATACACGATAGTATTCATCTACACCTAATGAGGAGATTAAGATATTTTTGGCTTTCCAATCATAATTGTATTTTTTCTCATCGTCATCGGTCCATTGTGCTTCGGGCATTGGCACAACTACGTTATCCGCATTGGTCATAGTAATTTCTATTGGACCATTGAGGATAACGTTCCATATTTTTCTGTCTATGGAGTTTATGTGCACCCGCATACAGTCTTTCCAATAACTATAATTTTCACCGTTGAAAACGGGAGCTCTATTGTACGCCCCTTTTGGTTCGTTAGCCATTTTCTATCAACGTTGTATTTGAAGCACCAAGTAACCGGAGCTCTAGATACCACTTGTTAGACTATGGCACAGATCTAGAAGGGGGGTTGAATAGATCCCTATTAAAAAATTGAGTCGGAGCTTACCAATTTGAAAATTGGTTTTAAAGATGTTTTAAGTGCGAAAGCGGCCGAGGAAAATATAGTCTAAAACAAACGGTTATTGGAAAACCGGATATGCGTTAAGCCTTTGGATTAATGACAATATGGAAAAGAGAATCACAACTCTAATCACACTTATCAATGATTTAATTCACTTGTTAGAATTCCTAGTTCCAATGATTTAAAGAGCAAACCAAAACTAGATACACAAATAAGATAATTTTGGTTTAGGCAATTTGTCGAACACTTGGCGTGCAAAAACACTCCAAGTGATATTTATGTTGAGTAAGTGATTCCAACTAGCCTAGTACAATGTCTTATTGTACTTTGGATTCAAAAACAGAGTTTTAACCTCTTACTCAATTAATATCACAGTTTGACAATAGTGCTTATACAAAAATTACTTATTTTTAAGCTAAAACGTAAATGCTAAAAAATAGAGAAGACAAGTATTTGGTGAGGCAGTTCCCCCGTCGTCCTCGCTTCGGGGTACGTCTGCCCTTAATTCTAAAACTAGAATTGAGATAGATTTAATAGATATCACCTGTTGAATGTAACAGTTTATACAAGGATTGAACAACAATTATACAACAGAAATCTCAAGACGTTGAATGTTGCTTTCACTTCTTGCCCCTTGATTCAAGATGAATCAAGTCCTCCGATCGTTGTTGATAGACCTTCGATTCCAGCCACCTTATTGAATAACCCATTGTTGTTCAAACCTTCGACCCCGGCTGATCTCAACTGCAACAAATCGAACCCGAGATCTTCCCTTAAATATCACTGAATCCGCTACTAGACTGTTGAAGAACACCTCTTCACAATCACCTTCGATCAGTTGACCCTTGATGAAGAATCTCGTCCAAAGACCCCCAAAATTCAAACCAATCTTGGAGGATAAAACCCTAACGGTTTTATTCAAGAAAGAACCTGTCACAAGCTTCAACCCGAACTAGATTACCCAATCTAAGCTTCGAACCTTATCACCTTTAATCATTCACAATGCACTTCAAAAATGGCTGTGTGTAAGTGATATGTTGTGAGATGTTTGAAGATGAAGATGAAGAATCTTGGACACCTATTTCACTCTTTCTTATTCTTAAACACATGAATAAATTTTTATCAAATGTTAATTGACATAAGTGGTTGAACTTGTATATATAGTACCAGACCAACCAAATACATAACAACTTTTCAAATAGTAGAGGGAATCATTTAAAATCTGGATTTCCGCGCGAACGGTCGACCGCAGCAGGTCTGTGCGTCGACGCATAACCTGCGTTTTTTGGAAATCTGGAAAATGTATCAGTATGCGTCGACCATACAGTCGGCGTGCGCTGACCCGTTGAAAAATATTTCCTTCATGCGCGACCCTATGGTCGACTCATGCCTTCATGCGCTGACCAGTGGAAAATGCTCTGATGCATGCGCCGACCCTATGGTCGACTCATGCCCTGCAAACCTGCAAAAATTGATCTTTTTGTGGTTTTTCATGCCCCTGGTCATGACTACATTTTATCTACATATAGTATATTTATTACAACAGTTTTTAGACAAATATAAAAGGATATGGTAGGTGATACGTTGCATTAGTTTAGTAGATTTGGAGTTTATAATTGCCAATCCATCCAAGGTTGTAATTCGTCATCATCGAAACTTATATCGAGTAATGTCTTGCAGACTCGTGTGATGTGTGGCGATTTGCCTCCACAAAGTGGACTTTGAAGTATCTACGAGGCTTAACTAAAAAATGTTTATACTTTAGAAAAGAGGAAATAAAAGTACAAGGCAACATTGATGCATACTTTGTTGGTGATGTTGGTCACCAAAAAAGTACAATCTTCTATATATTTATTGTTGGTATCTGAACACTTAGTTCAATATCACAAATACAATTGTCACTTTGTCACTTTATCCGCTATAGAGTTTAAGTATGTAGTAGTAATATAAACCAACAAAAAAATCGATATGGCTTTGAGAATTGTTAAAAAAAAGTTGGGTTTTACACAAGAGAAAAATGTTTTCTTAAATTGCAATACATTTATCAAAAAATTTAGCATTTCGTTAAAACATAAAACACATTAATCTTTAATATCACTACATTCTATCTCTCCATGAGGATGATGTGCTAACATTGAACAAATTTAAAAAGTAATAACCCAAAATACAAGTTAACAAAAGTGAAATTCTGTTTAATTTCAACGGATTTTCAAGAATAATAAACTGACATAGGTTAATGTTTTATTGAGATGTGAAGAACGATTGAAATTAAATAAAAAAAAGAGAAAGAAAAAATAAAAATAAATAGTAAATAAAATAAAGAAAGTTACGAGAACTTAGTTAAATTTGAATCATTCTTTTTTTCTATTGGCTATAAAAACCATGTTTCTTTATGTATTTTTACATTATTTTGAATTAGATAGTATTTGATTAGCCATAAAAAAAAATTAAAGAAAAAAAAATCGAATGACTATTGTGCCACGTGGCAAGTGGAGAACCATGAAAATGGTGAGGTTTAAGATGATGATGTGTAGTGTAGTATGAGAGAGAGAAAGAGATAAACAATCCAACAAAACACAGGAAACACAAACAATTAAGTATCATCAAATTTCCATTGTTTGTATCTAAGACATAAAATAAGGTTTTGGTGATAACTAGGTAGCTTTATAAAAATGTGGTCATCCTCACAACAAAGCTTCTTCATCCCCACACCAACCCTTCTTAATCCAAAGTTCAGGAACAGCAGGAAAACCGTGGTCGTCCACTGCAGTTGCTCACAGCCACAACCCGACAACCAAAAACAACAACAACAATCTCCAACTCCATTAAGGTAGGATACAACTATTTGTTAAGTTCGTATATTTTGCTTTGTTTATTTGGTTGTATTAAGTACATAACTGTTATGTATAGTAATAGGAAGAAGAATGAGAACAAGTTAGGAAAACTAGCCTTGATTGCAGTGGCTGCTGGTGTGTTAACGTTTGGATCAGTTCATGATGCATCAGCTGCCAAAAGTGGTGGAAGAATTGGTGGTCAGTCCTTCAGATCAGCCGCTCCTCGCAACTCCGGGCCAAGAATCAACAATAATAATTCCAGGTTTGTTTTAATCAACATATTCTAACTCAGTTTCATTTCAAGATTTTGATATTGTTGGATTTTGATACAAACAAAATTTGAGGAGTGTTACAGTAGGAGTCTTTTTTGTTAGAATGTTGGAGATTAGAGATGATCAATAGTTAGTAAAAACAACATATGTGATGGTATTACATTACAATAGAGGGTATTAGTGATGATGAATAGTTGAAACATTATGAACCAATTGCTCCTAAATGTTCAAAATACAAATGAATTCATTTTGCATATTTATTTATAGGTGTTGTGAAATAGGTGTTTCTAGAATGGATTATTCCAAAGGCCAAATGGAGTGTGGTAACTAACATAGTGGCTAGTTGGTGCTATAAGTGTTGGAGGTCCAATGGTTCAATATCCTTAGTGTTCCGTTGTGGAACCAAAATTGATCGGTAAATGAGGAGGAAGAGCTTGTTGTGGTGGTCCTGAGCTTCCAATACGGTGGAATGGGGGTTGACCTGCAAGGCTAGCAATCCAACGATAAAGTTAGTATGAGAATAAAAAGTGATGTATGAATGAGAATGAATTTGAATATGTAAGAATTGACGTGCCTTCGTTTACAAATAGGAGAAACAATTGGTAACTGAAAGCGTGGATCACGGTCAGCCGTCAGATTGATCTGGATAGCTAGCAAAATTCTCGCATGTGGAATTGTCTGCGTAGAGATGAAAATTAGACTACCTGTTATGGATTTATGATTTATCCCTCATACTCCACTATAGGGACTTTACTGTTGAGCCTTTGTTCTTTAGGCCTTGTGGGCAGCTAGGAACAATTAGAGATGATATTGAAAGAAAATTGGATGGAAATGTATTTCTGTAACTAAAAGAAGGCATAACATTTCACCTGTTTGTCTTTCGTTTTGCTGGAATCATATTTATGAAATTTTGTTATCTTTATGACAGGACCAACATCTATGTGAATCCACGGGTGGCGCCTCCACTAGTTGGTGGATACGGGTATGGTGGTATGCCATACTATGGTGGTGGATACGGATGGTCTCCATTTTCTTTCTTTGCACCAGGTCCAAGTGTAGCAGTAGGCATTGGAGGTGGATTCAATTCTATACTTCTGTTTATGCTTCTTGGTGCCGGTGCTGCTGTTGTTAGGAGATTCTTTGGATCAAGAAATGTTGACGATGATGACGACGAATACTAGCATGCTAGCTAGCAGTACAAAAAACACTTTCATGCTTGATTGAAGAGAGTGTTTGTGTTAAATATAGATGTTTAAAGGAATGGAAGATCATAAATGTATGTGACTAAAATATTTTGTAATTTGAGCTATGCATATATTGTTATACTTGAAACAGAAGTATTAATCTGAGCTATGAAATCTGTTTATCTACTAAATATCACTATGATATGGTGTCTCATATGATGAGGCATGATCTAATTGGAAATTTGAGCTTTAAATTAAGATCAATGTTGTGCTCAATTTTAGGAGCAACTTTTCCACTTCACATTTCTAAGTAATCACAAATTGTTTTTGAAGTGTACTTTCAAACGACATATAATTCACGTTTATTTTATGGGCCATTAAAATACTTGGTACTTTAAAGGTGCAATTTATGTTTGGAAATTTCTTAATGTATTTATATGTTACTATGCAAAGATAGTAAAATGTTCTTCAGATTTCGAAGATACATTTTCAGACGTATACGATACACGCACTTCATTCGTTTTTTAGTTGCATCTTAATTTTATGATTTAATTTATTTTGAAAATACATTTTTGAAACTTAAAAAATGATAGTCTTGGGGTCATTGGATAACACAACCCTAGTTAGTGTTTATACTTTCGAATCATACATTTGTTTTAATTAAGTGTTTAACAAAGGAAGCAAAACCATTGCCAAATGAAGATTGTCTATAACCATTTAAAAGCAGATAGAAACTGTGAGTTTTTGGGTCGAACTCAAGTTTGATGAGGAATAACTTCCATATATTTTGATAGGAGACAAGTATGAAGTCGAAGATGAGTCGCATGCTGTGGTCGAATAATACATATTGTAGTCAAAGTTTGTTCTAATACGTATTGTTGAAATATTTGTCGAATTGGATCTTTTGTTATGGATCCAATTGTTTAGTTAATTTGGGTTGTAAGTTATCTAGTTAGTCTATATATAGGCTAGATCACTCATGTTGTTGAGTGAGACAAATTGTGATATTCATTTGTAATCATTTGTAAACCCTTATGAGAAAGTGAATAGTAAACAAGTATGCACAAATGCTTCATCTTCTTTCTTTTTTATCCTTCTTTCTCTTTTTGTTCTAACCGTTTTTATTGTTCACCCAAGAACTCCGTTTCTCAATCTTGATTTGTTGAAAGGTATCGTTTGTGATCACAATAAACTAGTGAGTAAAGGATCAATTGAAGTCAAACTTGAAGGAAAAGGAATGGACTCAGTGTGGAATGTTCGATCACATGCTACAGAAGCGGCAGAGGGAAACATTGTTGGAAAAGGAAAAACGTCATCATGAAAAATAACATATTTAGAGATATAAATTCAACTGAACTTGCTGAAATACCTGTAACCCTGATGCTGAGGAGAAACCCCCAAGTACACACACTCAAGACTTATAAACTCCAACTTATGTTTATTGTAAAGACGAGTGAATGGAAAACACAAGGAATCAAAAACCCGAACTCGAAGAGTGTTATAACAAGGATACTTACGATACAAGGAAAAGAATGGGGACTAAAAGAAGCAAGCCCAGTAGTAGGAAATCTATTTATCAAATGAAATGCAAAAGCAAAGCTATATTCCTAAAAAGGATGAGCAAGGGAAGCATGAGATAGCAAGGTAAATCCCATTTTGATAATATGTCTATGCTTATGTTCGATTGTACCATTTTGGTGAGACATGTGTGGACATGTAAGCCTAAGAGTGATACATAACTCAGTTAAATACTTAGTGAAGGGTCGTAATTCTCTCATATAATCAAATTGAACAACTTTAATGGTAGTGTAAAACTAAGTTTGAACAAACTTGTGAAACAATTTGAAGGCGTGGAATGTTTCCGACTTGTTTTTAAGAAAATAGATCCTAGTGTACTTGGAATAAGAATCAATAAAAAACAACATAGTAAAGAAAGCCAGAAGTTGAAAGGAATGAGGAAGGACCCCAAAGATCTGTATGCACTAATTCAAAAGTAGGATGATACACTATTATAGATGCAGGGGAATACAATAAATTAGAGTTTTCAATACAACAAGAATTAAATGTCTGATTTGAAAAAGGTCTAGTCGAAAGAGGAATATAACAATGATTTAGAGTCTGTCGAATAACAAGATAATTGGCATGATCTGGTTGGAATGCCAAATAAGACTAGATCTTGTGTTATTTACACCAGATGTTACAGAGCAAGAAACAAACTTAGCATTATTACAAATGACTGTGGAACTAGACGAAGACATGGAGTCAATGTGATCATGTTTAGAAACAACATCTCCAACTGTAAGCAACGAGTTCGCAAAGGCTTTAACACGTAATACAAACTTAGTGACTGAACTGGTACCTTTCTTGATGGGTTTTAGTTCAACGCGTAGCTGACGTACACGAGCTTTCATGTACACAATGAAGTATTTGTAAATTCTATCCCAAACTTCAAAGGCATTCTTGCAAGAGAGAACATGTGGAAGAACAAATTCATAAATCGTGGAGAGCAGCCAAATAAAAACAACTTGTTCTTGAATTATGCTAGAGAGAGAGAGAGACGACAATTAATACCATGATAGAATATGATTTTCACATTATTCATTCAATCTCTTTTAAGATTTACAAAATTATAACCACTTATTTAAAGCAAAGGATGCACAATAGATGGATCAAAAGTTAGTTACAACTTATGCATGTATGCACATACAGTAACATACTTCAATGCCTAATTTAGTCTCATAATAAGTGGTAAGATTCATAAATTTTATTAATTAGTTTTAAGAATATTACGGAGACTAATTCATAGTAAGCTGTCTACTAATGACAACTTGTGTTTTAGAAGTTGTATTATTATTTTAAAGTGTGATCTTTGTGGTTATAGTATTGGAATCATTTTTACATTTTTTTGTTCGTGTCTTTTTCTAGCAACTTTGAAGTTGGTTGCAAAATACCATTGATATCTCTATTGACACCGATTATGTGCAAGATATCTTCAACTCTTATGACAAATATTGGTTTGATCAGTGCAAATTTGTCATTAAAGTAAATAACTGTTACTATTAATACATTTCACAGTATTTAATTTTGTACAAGTAAATAAGTGTGTGGATGCTCTAACCAATAAAGGAATAATTAATCAAAGAGAGATGTATTTTTTTTAACAAGTATCAGATTGTATTATTTAGCGTTGTTTGATCACGATGTAAAGGATGTTTCAACTCGTAGACGACTAATTGTATAATTTTGGACTTTGGTCTTTTATAAAAAAAAAATAAAAAAAAAATAAATATATATATATATATATATATATATATATATATATATATATATATATATATATATATATATATATATATATATATATATATATATATATATATTATATATATATATATATATATATATATATATATATATATATATATATATATATATATATATATATATATATATATATATATATATATATATATATATATATATTTATGTCTAATCCTTGTCTAATTCATTATAATATTATAAAATAAGAGGTGTCACTAAAATTTATCTTAATAGTAGGATTTAAAATTTTTTAATATATTTTTTTTTTTACGTCGAACACTTTTTTTAAATTTGATGTGTGAATATTAACATTGAACGGCTAATTGATCGGATAGACTCTAATACATACAATATTAGAGTTTAACATAATTCATTTTTACAAAATCAATTTATAAAAGGAAGAGTATCATATTAAATGAATAGAGAGACTCTAGGTTTGTTGCAAAATGTCCAGAGTTCATCAACACGATTAAAAGGAATACAATGTATGATGATAGCACTACAACGGAAAAAATATATAATGAAGTTTGCGAAACACATAGACGGTGTCGTTGTTAGGTAGCGTTTGATTGTATGTATGTTGGTTTTCACAACTTGCGAGTAACTGTGGTTATAAATTAGATAGCAGGCTAATTATAACATCAATTATATATTTCAACCGTAGTGATATGTGTAAGAATTTATTATAAAATATGAGATTACTTGTTTTTTTCTCCGTCATTAACTAGTCCTCTTACCTCATCTCAAAAATAAGTCTTATCGCATCTTGTTTTTGGTTCAAATAGTGTTCCTACCTCATCTGATCTCTATCTTTCAAATCCTTAATTCAAAGATAGTAGTAGTATATGAAGTAGTAGTGGCGTGGTCCTTTTAAAGGACTATTTGAAGCACTTTATTCCACGAAGCCTATTCATTCAGCACTCTCCGAAGCCTGTCCATACAGCACTACCCAACCAAGTGAAGTGAGTGACTTTTATCCAATCCAAATTCTATACTTTATATATTAAAAAAATGTGTCGTTCACAACAAGATAATGTAGATCATGGAAGATTTGTAACATCTTTTTGATTAAATAGTAGGCTAGTTCTATATTGAGCAAATGAAGTGAATCTTATATCATACTGAATCAATGAGATATAATAACAGTTATTGATTTAAAAATTAGTTAAGAACACTATTTAGTTAATGAAAAAATTGCTACATTTACACAAAATTCTTAAATATTTAGATCGTATGTCACTCTTTACAATTGTTTTTCATATATATATATATATATATGAAACTTATTTTCAACCTAAGAACAACCCACTGATTATTTTTTATTTTTTCTAACTCTTTATATATAAATCAAATAAATTTAATTAGAAGTGTTTCACAATTCTTTTATATAACTTTAAAGATATCTCAAACTACAAGAATACAGTTTTATGGATTTCTATCTTTTGCCTATTTAATTAAGATTACCACTTTTTTTTTTCTATATCTTCATATTTTATCTATAAAAGTGATAGATGTATATATTTATAACAGTCGAAACTCATAGATTCATAACGAGTCTAAAGCAGAACCCATGAATGAACGGATCCAGAAATTGAAACAACCAAGCCTAATAACCACGAACTTCCTGAACTAGACTCGTTGCCTTCTAGACTTGATCGGCTGACATTAGGAACCTT